AGCTTCCAAGGTCGACACAAATCTTAGTGCAGTCACCTCAGTTGAGGAACTTTTAAGTTTCCAAGCTCCATTTCTCAAATCAGTTATTTCAAACACGAGCTTATGCTAATCAAGTGACCGTGAAATGGAGGAACTTTGTTTCTGACCATTATGGAGTAAAAGGCACCGGATTTACCCTCCTGCCATAAACAACTAGGAACCTAGACAAAACATACAGAGCCACTGTTTTTCAGACATTGGCAACAGGCAGTACAGAACTGATATCACGGAGAGAAGAAAAACAAACAAGGTGAGTTCTACACTGGCCCTGGCTTTCTGCCTAGAGGCACATTCTGCATCATAAATTCAGAACAAGGGAGAACACAGCAATCTCACTGAGCTAATGAGACAGAGATTGGAGTTCATGCACTCTGAGGCAGCTGGAAGTTGCTACAAGCCTAGCCAAATGAAGTAAGTATATAAAAAGGAGCTCTGAAAATCTGCATTGAGTAGTATTTTAATATCTAGCAGTATTTTAATAGTAAAGTATTTTTTAAATAATTTTAAATATTTAATGAAGTAGTGTTTTTAAGTATGGGTATCACAGTTTATTTACTCTTTCCTATTGATGACAGGGTTAGAATTCTGAACACAGTGTTTCAAGAACTATCACGTAGAGATAAAGAGAACTATTACAATAGTCAATGTAAGGAGATGGAGGAGAGCAACAAAAGAAGGAAAACAAGCAACCTCTACCAGAAGATTCAAGGGGGAAAAAAAAGGGATATTCAGACCTAAACAAGGAATGCCAAATGATCGACAAGGTAGCACATTATCTGATCTGGAGAAAATAAAGGGAAGGTGGAAACAGTACACCAAAAATTTACACAGAAAAGACAAAAGGATGGCAGATATCTTTGAAGAAGATTCCTCTGAGGGAGGACCAGCAATTCTAGAAAGCTAAGTGAAAGCTGCCCTGCAAGTATTGGGAAGAAATAAATTACCAGGAGTAGATGTGATAGCAATAGAATTATTTCAAGCCACAGAGACTGAATCTGACAAAATCCTAACAAGAATATATCAACAAATATGGAAAACAAAACAATGGCCTACAGACTAGCTTTGTTCAATATACAATCCAATCTTCCAGAAAGGAGATGCCAAGGAGTGGAGCAACTATGTGCTCTAATTTCCATGCAAGTGAAGTGGTGCTCAAGGTGATGCAACAAAAGGGAGAACTCTTGTATGGAGCAAGAAATGCCGGAAGTTCAAGTTGGATTCAGAAAAGAGGCTCTTGAGATCAAATTGCAAACACGCTCAGCACAGGAAGTCTGAGATAGACAAATATCATATGACTGCACTGACATGTGGAATCTAAAGAACAAAAATAAACAAGTGAACAGAATTGAAACAGACTCACAGACACAGAGAGCGGACTGGTGCGTGCTAGAGGGTAGGGGTTGGTGGAACTGGATGTAAAGAGCAAAGGGATTAAGAAGTACAAATTGGTAGTTACAGAATCGTCACAGGGCTATAAAGTACACAGCACAGAAAATGTAGTCAATAGCTCTAACCAGTTTGACTCAGTGGATAGAGTATCCACCTGCGGACTGAAGGGTCCCAGGTTCGATTTTGATCAAGGGCATGTACCTTGGTTGCAGGCACATCCCCAGTGGGGAGTGTTCAAGAGGCAGCTGAATTGATGTTTCTCTCTCATTGATGTTTCTAACTCTCTATCTCTCTCCTTTCCTCTCTGTAAAAAATCAATAAAATATATTTTTTAAAAGAAAATATAGTCAATAATATTGTAGTAACTATGTCTAGCGCCAGGTGGGTACTGGAATATTGGGGTGAACACTTTGTAAGGTATATGATTGTCTAATTACTATGTTGTACACCTGAAATCAATACAAAATAATATTGAAAGTAAACTGTAATTGAAAAATAAAAATGTAAAAAATTTGCAAACATTGGTTGGATACCGGAATGCTCCAAAGAATTGCAGAATAAGTTTAGTCTATGTTTTATTAACTACAGGAAAGCTTTTGTGTGGATCATGATAAGCTATAGGTTACTCTGAAAGAAATGGGCGTGCCTAAGCACTGGATTGTCCTGATGTGTAACCTGCACTATGAACAGGAAGCCACTGTTAAGACAGAACATGGAGCCAAAACCAGTTTGGCTCAGTGATAGAACGTTGGCCTGTGGACTGAAAGGTCCCGGGTTCGATTCTGGTCAAGGGCATGTACCTTGGTTGCAGGCACATCCCCAGTAGGGGGTGTGCAAGAGGCAGCTGATAGATGATTCTCTCTCATCGATGTTTCCAACTCTCTATCCCTCTCTCTTCCTATCTGTAAAAAAAAAAAAAAAAAAAAAAAAAAAAAAAAAAAAAATCAATAAGACAGAACATGGAAATGCAGAATGGTTTCCTATAGAAAAAGGTGTCAGGCAGGTGCATTTTTATCTCTCTATTTAATCTGTAAAGAATATAAATGAAAAAACTGGGTTACATTCAAAGAAGGAATACAAATTGTTGCAAGAAATATCAATGACTTAAGATATGCAAATGATACAATCTTACTGTCAGAAAGTAGCCATAATTTGATATTACTCTGATGAAAATGATAGAAGAAAGTGCCAAACCAGGACTGTATTTGAACATCAACAAGATAAAAATCATGACTACAGAAGAAATACACAACTTCAGCAAAGACAAAGAGAACGTTGGAATTGTTAAAGATTTTGTTTACCTTGGTTCAGTCATTAATTCAAATGGAGACTGCAGCCAAGAAATCGAGAGAAGGCTAAGATTCGGAAGGGTAGCAAGGGAAGAATTAGGAAAGATCACCAAGAGCAAAGATATGTCCCTGAAGCCGAAACCGGTTTGGCTCAGTGGTAGAGCGTCGGTCTGCGGACTGGAAGATCCCAGGTTCGATTCCGATCAGGGACATGTACGTTGGTTGCGGGCACATCCCTGGTAGGGGGTGTGCAAGAGGCAGGTGGTCGATGTTTCTCTCTCTTCAACGTTTCTAGCTCTCTATCTCTCTCCCTTCCTCTCTGTGAAAAATCAATAAAATATATTTAAAAAAAAAAAAAAAGATATGTCCCTGAAGACCAAGGTTAAGATCGTCCATACATTGTATTCCCAGTTACTCTGTATGGATGTGAAAGTTGGGCAGTGAAGATAGGAAAGAAAGGATTCATTTGAAATATGGCTCTGAGGGAGAGCTCTTCAGACGGGACGGGACGGCCCGAAAGGTGAATAAGTGGATCCTAGAGCAAATCAAGCCTGAAACATGGCTGGAGGCAAGAACGACAAAACTGAAGCTGTCCTACTTTGGGCACCTCATGAGGCGGCAGGGTTCTCTGGAAGAGACACCAAAGCTAAGAAAACAGAAGGGGGAGGAAAAGAGGAGGACCCAATATGAGACGGATTGACCCGTCAAAGGCGCCATAAGCAGGAACTGATTGGGGCTTTTGAGGACAGAACGCTGGGAACATCACTGTCATCCTCAGGGTTGCCAAGAGTCAGACCCTACTCAATGGCGTGCAACACACACATGGATGGCGCTTCAGTGGTTTCTAACTTGTCACCATTGTAACAGCCCTCCTACGTCTCCTCTCCTTGGGACTGATTTGTGGAAATGGACCATTTAACATTTTGCATCGCTAAATAAGGCCCATTTAACATTTTGCATCGCTACATAAATTGTTGGCTAATTATCACTCCCCATGCAGTGTATTATACAAGAGAGCCCCTTCCCCTCACCCTTGTCCATATAATGATCCTTCTTAAGAGCTGCAAAATAATTCAGAATTCATGCTCAGAGAACAGACCTTCCAGTTTGGAGGCAAAAGCCACCTGGTCCTGTAGGTCAAGAGCCACCGAGTCCCCCTCATGTGTGGGTACCCGGCCAGAAGGAGAGGGGAAGGCTTGGGAGAGCCCTGACTTCTGCTCCAGTGGCCGGTGGCGATCCCACTCGGTGCCCACGAACTTAGGGGAGGAAAGGGGCCAAACTGGGTGGGGAGAACGGGAGCGTAGGCCCATGGGACACGATGGCAGGGGCCAGGAGACGAAGATGCGGGTTCAGATGCGGGTCCAGATGCGGGTCCAGCGAGAAAACGAAGGCTGCAACGGTCTCAGTAACCCGCCGGGTGCCCTGATGAAGGACGCGCGGGGGCGCCGTTGCATCGTCCTCGAGGGAGGCCCCGCGGCCCTGCGGACCAGGCGGCCACGGAAACGCTCACCCAGACCCGAGGGCGAGGGCGGCGAGGGCGGCGAGGGCGGCGGTGGGGAGGCGGAGCGGCGGAGCCAGGGGGACGGCGCCGCGCCACCTAGTGGCTGCGGACGTAAGGCAAGTCCCGTCTGGGCCCCTCTTCTGTGAGTGGGCTCCCTCCGGGCACCTCCTCCCAGGGAGGGCTGCTGGGAAGCTTCATGGAGATGGTGTACGGTGGCTAGCCTCTTTGTACACACCCCAAAAACACCACCACGACCCCGCCAACACCCAGCGCTTATTCAGCCCCCGGAGGCTCCCCCGAAGAAGAGAAGCTCTAGCTCCACAGAGAGCTACTGTATTCCATTCTCACGGGGCACCTTCTAGTCCTGTGTTCCGAACCCGGAAAGGAATGTTACAAAGCCTGGTCCCCACTCTCAGGGAGCCCACGGGGTGCCTGAGGGGGGGCTTGAATGGGACACAGGCAGGAAAATGACTTCAACAGCAGCAGCATCCGGCCGTCTCTTAGGAAAAGGGGTGCCGGCCTCCCCCGTCCAGCCGCGCACTCAGCACGTCGCGCTCGCTCCCCTGGTCCAGTTCCCCTGTTGGAGGAGAAGGCTGGGGGCCACCCGGGAAGGAGGGGTGGGCGGGGGAGGGGCACTGGGCTCTGTGTTGGCAGTTGCCATGGTTTTGCCCGGGGTTCTGGAGCCAGCCCGCCCACCCCCTGAGACATTGAGGTCACAGGAGCAGGAGTAGTTCAGAGCTTGGGGGCCCTCGGGAGGAGTGCCACTCTGGAGCCCACTGGAGATGGAGTCCTCAGATGGGCGAGGGGATGAGGAGGACAAACCTCAAGAGAAGGTGCAGTGGGGCTGGGGATGGGAGGGAGGGAGGAAAAGAGGAAAGGAGGGCCCTGGAGGGGCTGTTTTTGGAAAACAGGCTACGAAATTCAAGAGGAGAAGAGGGAAAATTGGTATGTGAATTAGCAAGAAACCAAAAGAACAAGAGAAGGTTAATTCAGTCAAATGGTTTATCAAAGACATATACTACTGGCAGGGTGATGGGAAGATTCCTGATAAGGTGGTTGTCGGCTATGAAGACACAAGGGATCTCGTGGTGTGTGTGTGTGTGTGGTTGTGTGGGGTGTATGTTTATAACGTTGGTCAGCCAAAGTCCCCTGTCTCAGGGGCCTGGAGGAACCCTGGTCCTGAACCTTCTCCATCTACTAACCTCCATCCCCTGCTCTCTCCCTTCAGAATGATCTGGGCCTGAGTCTTCCTTGTTCTCCTGAACACAGGCAGGAATTAATACTCACTTTTCTGAGAGGCTTTTCTAAGGTCAGGAGCACATTCCACCATGCCAATCTAATTCTGTGCTCTGCCTTCAAGTCACTTTATCTTCATTGATTAGATTTTTTTTTTTGCCCCACTTTGCTGTCAGAAAATTCCCTCTCACCTTCACCATCACCATCACTCATTTTCCTGAGTGCCCGTTAGCATGGCATAATTTTTTTAAAAATATATTTTTATTGATTTTGTACAGAGAGGAAGGGAGAGAGATACAGAGTTAGAAACATCGATGAGAGAGAGTCATCGATCAGCTTTCTCTTGCACACCCCCTACCGGGGATATGCCTGCAACCAAGGTACATGCCCTTGACCGGAATCGAACCCGGGACCCTTCAGTCCCCAAGCCGACGCTCTATCCATTGAGAGCATGGCATAATTTTAAGAGTTAGGGACAGAAAGAGGTGGACCTGAGACAGGTATTCAACAAATGTTCACTGAAGGAATGAGTACACGAATCCCTGCTCATTCCTCCAAGGAGTTACTAACTCCCTGGTGCCTCAGTGCTCTTATCTGCAACCAGGGAGGGATGATGAGATCTGAGCTTGCAGAATTTGTGAGTGAATGAGTTAATGTTTACCTAGAGCTTTGAAAAGTTAGCTACTGTACTATGCTATAATTATTATTTTTTAAAATGAGTTGGGCATTCTAGGTTTTCTTTTCTTTAAAATTTTATTTTAGGTTAACTTATTTTTTATTCACTTTTATTTATTCATTTTAAAATATTTTTTATTGATTTCAGAGGGGAAAAGAGAGGGAGAGAGAGATAGAAACATCAATGATGAGAGAGAATCATTGATCGGCTGCTTCTTGCACTTGCCACCCCCTAACGGGGACCAACCCTGTAACCTGGTCATGTGCCCTTGATAAGAATCATACACGGGACTCTTCAATTCATTGGCCAACACTCTATCCACTGAGCCAAATCTGCTAGGGCTCTTTTTCTTTTAGGTATATTTTTATTGATTTCAGAGAGGAAGAGAAAGAGAGAGAGAGAGAGGAACATCAAAAATGGGAGAGAATTATTGATGGTCTGGCTCCCGCACACCCCACACTGGGGATCAAGTCCACAAGTGCGCGTGTGCCCTGACCAGGAATTGAACCATGACCTCCTGGTTCATAGGTCGATGCTCAACCATTGAGCCACACTGGCTGGGCCATTCTAGGTTTTCTAAGCAGGGGTTCTCAGAGATGGGTGTCTTTGCTCAGGATTCACTTGTCTCAGGGCTGGGTCCAGGAGAAAGTCATAGGGGAAATGGAGAAAGGCTCTGGCCAGCATTTGATTCAGTGATTGTCCAGCACTGCCCCTCAGGAGCAAAAGCCCCCAGCTGACCGCTGTCCCCTGTCTCCCCCCCAGGTGATGGATGTGCCCTGCTTGGAGAAGAGCTCCAGCACCATCCCCGCTGGAGACTCGCTTGTGTGCCATGCCAAGGGCCTGGACCAGTGTACCTTCAGAATTGTGAGTAGGGGCCGTCCCCGGACCCTGCTCCCTGCTCCCTACACATCAGGAAACCTGGGCCAGAAACTGGCAGGCCTCAGACCCATAGCTCATTGCCTTACTTGTCACACTCTTGGGAAAGAAGTGGGTAGGACATTGACTGGAGCCTCCTCGCTTAACATTGTAAAGCCTTCCTGGGCCCTACGGGCTGCAGCTGGACCAGCCTGCTGGTTGCTCGGGGTGGCCCGTCTGCCTCTTCTTTTCTCATATGGCCCCTCACCTCCCTCGTTGCCTCCTCAGTGTAAAGAATGTCTAAGGCCATTAAAGAAGTGCCTGCGAAAGTTGTACCTGCCCCAGGACCTTCCCCAGAAGAAGAAGCTAAAGTACATGAAGCAGAGCCTGGTGGTCCTGGGCGACCACATCAACACCTTCCTGAAGCACTACTGCCGCGCCTGGGAGATGAAGCACTGGAAGAAGTAGGCAGCCTCCTGGCCCTTCCCCGACACCCACTCCTGGGTCTCCCCCTCTAGACTCCAAGTCACACCTCAGCCAAGAGCCCCCAGTCCCTCCTCTTGATGTGAGAGTGTCAGGATCCCGGAGTGAGCATGGGGACGATGGGGTGGAAAGAACAGGGTTCCCTAGTCACTCAGAGCGGCATTGATTCACCACCGCTGTACACACAGAGGACAAAAAACCCCCTAGCCCTGAGGACAGTGACCTCTGATTGAACAGGTTCTGTGTGGTGTGGGTGCTCACCACCAGCACGGGCATCCAAGATCTGAAAAACCTTCATATTCCCTCAACCAAAAACAGCCCCGTGGCCCATTTTCCCCCGGGTGGGTCCTGAGGGGACAGGGGCTGTGCTCCGCCTCCCTCAGCCTCAGGTTTCTCCCTGTAGGATGCTCTGGAGATTCGTCTCCCTCTTCTCGGAGCTGGAGGCAAAGCAGCTTCTCAGGCTCTACAAGTACACCAAGAACAACCAGAACACCAAGTTCCTGGTGAGAGGCTCGGGAAGGCTGCTCCTGGGCGGGCTGGTTGGTGTGCACTAAGGTTCAAAGAGCAGAGTTCAAACAACTGGCACAGAGGGAAGCCCTGCTCTAACCAACCATGCCGGACTCTCCACCCAGCCCCGCCCCGCCCCTCCCCACCCCATACTCTCTAGCTGTGCAGCTTTAACCAAACCTCTTCCTCTGAACACCACTGGGTGGATCCGTCCAGTGATTCCTCCTCTGAACACCAGGAGCTGCCATTTTAGCGATTCCTGGGTTTCACCAACCAGGAAAATTTCAAAAGATATTTTTCAGGCTCTCAATTTTAATTTTGCAAAGGACTTTTAAAAAAATATATTTTATTGATTGATTTTTTTTTTTTTTTTTTTTTTTTTTTTTTTTTTTTTTTTTTTTTTTTTTACAGAGAGGAAGGGAGAGAGATAGAGAGCTAGAAACATCGATGAGAGAGAAACATGGATCAGCTGCCTCCTGCACACCCACCTGCTGGGGATGTGCCCACAACCAAGGTACATGCCCTTGACCAGAATCAAACCTGGGACCCTTCAGTCCGCAGCCTGACGCTCTTTCCACTGAGCCAAACCAGCTAGGGCTGCAAAGAACTTTAAAAAAAAAAAAATTGCTTCACTACAAACGCATAAAACCCTGTAACTCAACAAAAGAAATGGAGGACGTACCGCAAAGCAGAGAACCACCCAGGAACAGACTGTCCGCAGCCTGGCCCCCATGTCTCCATGACCCTTTCTCTGCCGCATCCGTGAGTCTCCATCCTTCTGGCGAGGCAGAGGTTTGGTGCAGCCAGACGCAGCCGTTTCCCAACCAGGGCACGGCCGGCACTGTTGAACTCGGGCCCCTCACTTCCCCACCCTCTTCTGAATGCTCTGTCCCCGTGGCAGGCAGCCTTCTGCCCTCTGGACGCTCCGGAGAGCTGCTTGCTGGCTGACCAGGAGGACAACCTGCCCAAGCTCTGCAGCGCCTGGGGGCTGCACGGCAACATCAGCGGCATGAAGGAGAGGCTGTCCAAGATGCAGGCCCCCGGCGGCGAGGCCTCCCTGCTGCCAGAGCCACGGGCCAGGGTCCACGTGAGGAGAGGTGATGCCCGCTAGACGTGTGGAGAGTGCCTGGAGGAGGGCCCTTGCCACTTCCCTCCTTCCCATTGCCTCTCAAGCCTGCATTTCTTCTTCTGTCCATGTTCCTTCTCCCTCCCCTTTGTTTTCTCTCTTTTTCCTCCCCCGCCTGGCAGGTGTGCTCACTATAGAAAGTAGGAGATGCACAGAAAAGAGGGAAAATCCCTAGCACCCAGAGGCCATGGCTGTTGCTGTTTTGGTGTGTCTCCCTCAGGGTTCTGTGTGATTTTTCCCCTCTCGTGACACATACAGTTTTAAATGCTGCATTTTGCAGTTAACTTTTAGGTGAAGGCACTTTCCCCTCTGACCAGGAGCAGAGCAGAGGTTGTTTCTAGTGGCCACGAGGGGGGACTCCCAGGAAGTGTACTTGCAGCAGGACACCCATTGTAGGTATTGGGTGGGGTATGGACTAAGGGAGGGCGCTCTGCCCCAGAAGGGCAGCGAATGGCCTTCCCAGCAGCTCTGGCCTCGGCTATGACTGCACTGCCTGACTCTGAGGAGAGACTGGTTGGGACCTATGAAGCCCTCTTCTGTGCAGTGAGGTGCAAGGCAATGTTGGAGCCACCCGCTCCTCACTCTTCTGGAACTGGCTCCTGGGGCCAGGGAACTGTTCTTATGTAGCTCCTGGGGGAGAAAGTGGAGGCAAGTAGGGTTCCCTAAGACCTCAGAGCATGGTCCTAAGTAGGACCCAGGTGTTTCCTCTGCTAGCTGGGGCTAATGCAGATCAGCAACCCTCGGGGCCTTGTCCCCAAGTCTATTAATAGCTGGGGACCAAGTGGGAGAGCAGGTCAGGTGCAGTGGGCACGGGTTAGGCAGCTACTGAGACCCAGAATCCTGCCTGGGGTCTGGGTGGGCCTCTGGCCCCAGTGCCTAGTTAAAATTGGGGAAGTGAAACCTATAATGGAACGAAGACCAGTCGGTCATGAAGGTGATCTAGGCCTAGGAATCCATGAATCAGAGGAAATTATGTATCTCATACTTTCACGTAGACCTTACAGCATCCTGAGGATATTATTATCCTCCTCTTACCAAGGATCAATCTGGGTCCTTCAGGCAAAGGTAGAACAGGCTGTCTGAAGAGGTAAATTTGGGACAGGCTCTAAAGAAAGGGATAAGGAGAGGAAGTGAGGAAGAGAGGAGAGGAGAGGGGACAAAGGTGTGTGCAGAGGTGAGGGGCAATGGGCAGACAGTCTGGGTTTAGCAGAGCAGGATGGAGATGAGCAAGATATGGGTAACAGGGGAAGCCCTTGTATGGTAGGTTAAGAAGTTTGGCTTTCATGCAATTCTTAGAATAATGTTTTATTACTACAAATATAAGCATATCATAGAAAGTTAGATAATACAGATAAGCAAAAATAAGAAAATATAACAGCACATTGTCATCACCACAGCTAGCATCGTCCAAATGTTTTTTATGTATATAAAACATCTATTTTAACCAAAATGAGATCACTATGTATATACGTGTGTTTTTTGAGGGGAGGTTTCTTTTTAAAATTTTTCTTTGAGAGAGAAACATCAATTTGTTGTTCCACTTATGCATTAATTGGTGGATTTTTATTTTTTATTGATCTCAGAGAGGAAGCGAGAGATAGAAACATCAGTGATGAGAGAGAATCACTGATTGGCTGCCTCTTGCATGCCCCCCACTAGGGATCAAGCCTGCAACCCGGGCATGTGATAGGGAATCCAACCGTGACCTCCTGTTTCATAGGTCCACGCTCAACCACCTAGCCACGCCATCCAGGCCATTGGTTGATTCTTGCATGTGGCCTGACTGAGGCCCAAAACCTTGGGGTATTGAGACAACACACTAACCACCTGACTTCCTGGCCAAGACTACAATGTATATACCTTGGCTTTGAACTTGTGTTCTTCAGTTATCAACCTTCCATGTCAATATTTTCATTTCATCCATTTGTTGGATTAAATACTCCATATTTAAAATTTCCCAAGTCTTTTGCACTGGCTTCCCAAACTTCATGCATCCCTCCTGGCTGTGTGTCTTAAGTCTCTTTTACCCTAACAGACCTCTTTCTTACTCCCTGACCTGTTGGAAGAGCTCAGGCTATTGTTCAGCAAAATGTTCCACTTTCTCTTGTTTCTTTCTTTTGGCATCTTTTAAGCTTGCTCTTCTATCTATAAACAGGACTTTGGATCAAAAGTCTGGATGAATTCATGTGTTTTTTAAAAAATTGGAGGAGGCTAGGAGACATTAGAGTTAAGGTTATGTTCTTCCTGTATGTGTTACATAAGAAAACACATACTATACTATCTGATGGACACACACCCCCCCCCCCCATGATGGACTGAACGTTATCCATGCAATTAAAGTTAACGTGCATGGTGTTTCTTTGGCACCAGGTTTATGTCAGTTCTTACATAAAACAATGGCAACGGTGTTTGCAAACAGTTCAGCACTAAAGCACTGGGAACCGGAGCATGAAACAGAGAAAGGAGTGGGGAGGAATCAGTCTGTAGCCAGATGTCAAGAAATATGGGTCTTGCCCTGGCGAGTGTGACTCAGCTGATGAAGCATTGTCCCATGCACTGATAGGTTGCTGGTCAGGGCACATGCCTGGGTTTGGGCTCTATCCCCAGCGGAGAGGCATGCAGGAGGCAGCTGATTGATGGTTCTCTCTCACGAGGCAGTGGGCAGGCCATTTCCTTACTCTGTGGCTAGGGGAGAATCCCGCATCTGTAAACTACTCCACGGATTTCTGTGAGAGAAAAAAAGGATATAGGTTGGAAGTAAGATTTTGTTTTCCTTTCTTTAGATCTCTACCACTGCTCCCCAAATGTTACAGACTGAAGTTCTTGTATGTGTGATGTCATCAGAGCTGTCTCTGATCTCCCCTTTTTCAGGTTCTTTAAGAAAACTTCATCAAATACCAAAACTCAAGAGAAAGAGGATTAAGGAAGCCCCAGAAACCCCAGAGACCGACCCATAAGAAGACCTGGCTGGGGCAGAGGGACAGCTCGCCCAGGATCCCAGAGCGTGTTTGTTTTCATACTCTGCACCTGGGGAGATGGGGACCCCTGAGGGGGAAGAATAAACTTTTCTTTATCAAAAGGACGCTTGCGTCTGAATTGGTGCATAAATGGGATGGGAACTAAGCATCCTTAATACAGGTCTATTTTACTTAGCTAATAAGCACCATTCATTATTTATTTAAAAACATTTGCCAGCCACCTTTTGAGTGGCAGGTATCCCTCACATACAACGGATAATAAGAAGAGGTCACTTATGTCAATGACCACCACAGTCTAGTGGGGAGACACGTGGGAATAGACATTACATCGGGGTGAATACAGGGGTCTGGGAAAGGCCTCGGGAGTAACAAAGAAGCTGATATGCACTTGCCAGATGCGAGTCTGGGGAGTGGAGTGGGCCTGGGGTCAGAGAGTGAGAAGTCCTGCAGCCTGCCAGAATCGCCTGGATTTAACCATGTGGGAAAGTTTGGGGGGTCGGGGAGGGCCGTGGTAAGGAAGATGTCAAGCAGCCGAATTGGGCTGCTGTGACCTGGACATTGGGCAGATGCTCCGGAGATTGCGAGCAAAACGCATGGAAGTGAGAGAGGGCAGAGGCAGACCAAAGAAGAAACAACAATAGTCTTTGCCAGGAGGGTGATTCAAACCTGTGGTCAAAATCAGCAGCCTGTGTGCTGCATTCAGACCACTGATGTGCTTCCTGTATTTGCCACTTACGGTGTCTGGTGTCTACTTGTCTATAAAACATTTTAAAAAGGATTACTTACCAATGTGAACTCAGTACATTTCCCATGAAAAACAACAGACTTCTGGCTTTTAACAGCTGGCCACACTTGAACCTGCCGTGGGTGATCCCTGACACTGAGATAGGGCGAAGCAGGCTGGAGGTGTGTGTCCGTGATAACTGGGGTCTCTCGTATTTTCTCTGCTCGGAGAGATTTCCCTTAGGAAGTCCCAGGAAGGCGTCCCCCGTGTGAGGCAGCACTGCCACCTAGAGGAATTATGGGTCTCTACTTACTCTCTCAAGCAAGAGGGGTGTGCAGAGAGATGGAGACTAGGAGGAAGTGGGGGAGCTGTCCGCTTAGGGGACAATCAGGAGGCCCGAAGGCAAAAATGGGAACAGGTGAGGCAAGGCTTTGACACCCTTAATCTTAAATTCCGGGGGATCTCAGAATTCAAAAAGGGAAGATCACTGGACATTGCTCAGCTCAAAATCCTCCAACAGCACAGGATATTTACTAGTAGCACACTTACTTGTATGATGCTAGAATGGTGGATAGATGTTACTGTACATTTGTCCAAACACACACAATGTGCAAACAAGAGTGAACCCTAACATAAACTATGAACACTGAGTGATTATGATGTGTCGATGTGGGCTCATCAAGTGTAACACATGTACCACTCCCGTGGGGAAGGCTATGGGTGTGTGGGGATGGCAGTGTACAGGAAATTTCTGTACTTTCTACGCAGTTTTGCTGTGAACCTAAATAAAGTAATGCTCTTTACCTCGTGCAGATTAAAAGCCAAAGTATGTGCTATAAGGCCATTTACAGTCTATTCCTGCTATCCATCCTGTTACTTCTCTGCCTCATCCTTGCATTCTCATACTTGTCAAGCACGCTCCTGCCTCAGGGCCTTTTCACTGGTTGTTTCCTCTGCCTGGAATGTTCTTTCTCAAGATACCCACTTGCTAACTCCTTAATTGCTCTCAAATCTTTGTTCAGTGCAGCCTACCGTCCTTCTGTTTTAAATTCCAACATGTCCCCCTCCACACACACTCTCTCTTTCTCAATATCCGTTTTTGTTTTTCTAAAGTACTTATACCCCTCAAATATTAGATAATTTAGTTTATTATTTATTTACTTATTTTAATATATTTTATTGATTTCAGAGGGAAAGGAGAGGGCAAGAGATACAGAAACATCAATGATGAGAATCGATTGGCTGCCTCCTGCACGCCCCCTACTGGGGATCAAGCTGGCAACCTTGGCATGTGCCCTTGACCGGAACCAAACCTTGGACCCTTCAGTCCACTGAGGCAAACTGACTAGGACTGATTTTATTTCTTATTTATTGATGGTCTTCTCCCACTAAAATATAAGTTTCAGTGGGCAGAGCTTTTTGTATGTTTTATTTCATTGCTATATCCCAAGCAATTACGATAGTACCCAGCATGTACTAAGTACTTAAACACTTGTAGAATGAATGATTGAATGAAAAAACGAATAAATGAGTGAATGGACAAACCCAAATAGAACATTTAATCCAACCAACTCCTGGTTCAACCAACTCCTTAGCAAACAATTCTTTCAGAAGTATGGCCAAAAGCTTCAATTATGTTTTAGGCATGTTTACTGTTGAGTATTTGCATTAGAAGGAGCAGCCAAGTGGCAAGTTATTATTTATAAGGTTGCAGTCTCTGTACTCAATCTTCACTGGCCAGGGCTGCCTTGAATTTTTAAACTGTAGAAATGTGCATAAAATAAGTGGATATAATTTGCTAACACTTAAGAATAGGATCTGTTGCCGAAACTGATGTGGCTCAGCTGATAAGAGCGTCTGAAAAGAAGCCCAAGAAAAAAGGTGACTTCTCCGAAGTTGTATAGGATGTCAACACCAGAAGTGGCACTAGAACTCAGAGCTGATGACCCTCACATCAGCACACTTCCCATACACTAATGACAAATATGTGGCCAAAGCATTTTCCACAAAAGATAAGCAACCCACAAAGCTCAATCTATTGCTTCTCCTGGTATCGTTTGTTTTTTCATTTTGCAAAACTGAAACTCTTTATCCATTAAGCAACCACTCCCCCCAACCCCTTCCTGGCTCTGACAACCACCATTCTACTTTGTTTTAGGAGTTTGACAACCTTAGATACCTCACATAAGTGGAATCACATAGTATTTACTCTTCTTCCTCATCCTTTTGTGACTGGTGTGTTTCATTTAACATAATGCCATTAAGGTTCATCCGTGTTGTAAAACCTGTCAGGCTCCCTTTCTTTTTAAGGCTGAATAATGTTTCACTCTAGCCGAAACCGGTTTGGCTCAGTGGATAGAGCATTGGTCTGCAGACTGAAAAGTCCCAGGTTCGATTCCAGACAAGGGCATGTACCTTGATTGCAGGCACATCCCTGGTAGGGGGTGTGCAGGAGGCAGCTGGTCGGTTTCTCACACATTGTCGTTTCTAGTTCTCTATCCCTCTCCCTTTCTGTGGAAAATCAATAAAATAACAACAACCACTCTATGTAATATATACCACATTTAAAGACATTCATTTATCTGTTGGTAGACACTTGGGTTGCTTCCATATTTTGGCTAATGTGAATGCAATGAATATGGGTGTATGAGTATCTGTTTGAATCCTGCTTTTAATTCTTTTAAATATATTACCTAGATGAGAAATTGCTGGGTCACATGGTAATTCTACTTTTAATTTTTTGAGGAATCACCCATTTCCCAAAGCAGATGCATCATTTTATATTCCCACCCATCATGCACTGTAATAGCCATCCTAATGAGTAATTTACCTTAATTTTTTTTTCAAATATATTTCTTTATTGATTTCAGAGGAAGGGAGGAAACATTTATGATGAGAATCATTGATCAGCTGCCTCTTGCACACCCCCTACTGGGGATAGAGCCCGCAATCCAGGCATGTGCCCTTGCCTGGAATCGAACCTGGGACCCTTCAGTCTGTAGGCTGATGCTCTATCCACTGAGCCAAGCTGGCCAGGGCTGCCTTGAATTTTTAAACTGTAGAAATGTGTATAAAATAAGTGGATATAATTTGCTAACACTTAAGAATAGGATCTGTTGCCGAAACTGATGTGGCTCAGCTGATAAGAGCGTTGGTCTGCGGACTGAAGGGTCCCGGGTTCGATTCCGGTCAAGGGCATGTACATTGGTTGCGGGCACATCCCTGGTGGGGGGTGTGCAGAAGGCAGCTAGTCGATGTTTCTCTCTCATCAATGTTTCTAACTCACTCTCTCCCTTCCTTTCTGTAAAAAAAAAATCAATAAAATATATTAAAAAACAAAAAACAGCCGAAGCCGGTTTGGCTCAGTGGAAGAGCGTCGGTCTGCGGACTGAAGGGTCCCGGGTTCGATTCCGGTCAAGGGCATGTACCTTGGTTGCGGGCACATCCCCAGTGGGGGGTGTGCAGGAGGCAGCTGGTCGATGTTTCTCTCTCATCGACGTTTCTAACTCTCTATCCCTCTCAATTCCTCTCTGTGTAAAATCAATAAAATATATTTAAAAAAAAAAAAAATAAAAAAAAAAAAAAAAAATAAAAAACAAAAAACAAGGCGAACTTCCTACTGCCAGGGTTAAAAAAAAAAAAAAAAAAAAAAAAAAGAGTAGGATCTGTTACAGTGTAAACTCTATGTCAAATAAATGCACAAATTGCCAAAGTATATAAGTTGGAAACAGTCTTAATTCTGTAAGTTCTATGATTAGATGTTAATGGCTTTAACAAAGCTTTAAGTAAAATACTACATTAAGTACCAAGAAGAAGAAACTTAAGCTCAATGACAAGAGAGGGAAACCTCTCTCGTCATTGAGCTGCACAGGTAAGACTTTACGTGGGTATTTTCATGGGCACCATTTCCAAATACTATTCCCTGTGCCTCCTCTGCCACACATCTCTTTTCTTGAACAAGAGCACTCACATTCTGGTTCCAACAGCTTCTCTTGCATTGTTCTCTGATGAAAACAGTCTGCAGTGTTTAAATCCCAAGTCCTAATCAAAAGTGTTCAGACTAAATTGGAAACACACTATGAATGCAGGAACACTATATTTATTAGGTTAATAATTCATTTTTAGCAATACAAGTACAGAATATATCACAATGCTGGTTACAAACATACTTAGTATGGTTTAATGGTTACAAATAATGGTGGGTACTACAAGTTTGTGATAAGAATGATATGAAAGGTCATTATGACACAATGAA